TGCACTGGCATCGGTGGCTTCGACCTGCAGACAACTGCACAACTGCAGCACTTCTAACCCTAAGAACTCCAGATGCTAAAATGTTTCTTTTCACAGAAATAACTGAACCAATGAGAAAAAGAGATTCTCAAATACCAAACTAGCGCTTAAAACTCATTTGTTTAAAAATTCCAACACAAAAAGAAAAACAATCCAATTTTATCCTGCAAGCCAACAAAGCTTGACAAGAACATGGTTTTAACTGATGTACACTCTCAACATTTTAGTCATGTGAGTTAATTTTAAGAATTCAACATGACTTCACACAACTCCCTTCTACCAATGCTGAACTTGCTTAAGCCTCGGGGAAATATTCTTTGCAGTTTTTAACTCTTCAACGTCATCATTTCACACTAATGGCACTTACGAGCTTGGTCTGTGGGGTTCATAAACTTCCCACTCTTGGTGGAGGATGTTGATCTCCGTCCCATGTTGACAATTTATATGATTTACTTCTTCATTAAAGAAACAAAACAAAAAAACGAAACCTGGAAAAAGAAAAGAACTCAGTTTTCCTGTATGTTTAACATGTCTTCCTTTTTAGAATTCCCATCAATTTCTGGAAATACCCCTCTGATTATTAATTTTGTAAGAACTTGTTCTTTGCCGGACGTTGGTGGCACATGCCTTTAATCCCAGCACTTGAGAGGCAGAGGCAGGTGGATCTCTGTGAGTTCGAAGCCAGCTTGGTTTCCAGAGCAAAGGCCAGGATAGGCTCCAAAGCTACACAGAGAAACCTTGTCTCGAAAAAAAACAAACAAACAAAAAACAAAACAAAACAAAAAAAGAACTTGCTCTTTAATTTTGAACATATAATATGGCTTTACCTTTCTTCATCACAGAAAAGCTAACATCTGTACAGTCAAGGCAACGAGACACATGAACTCTCCACATTTAACACTCTGCTATGGATTATGTAGCACTGTCAACTGAAAAAAAATTCAACTAGGAGTTTGCACTTGGAATGTGGACTGGGCCATAAAAGACTATCTCAAAACAAAACCCAACTAGAAAATGTTTTAATAATGTGATACAAACCTGGAGTGTAAGAAGTCAACAGTTCATTTCCTACACCCTTCCCCCTTTATATATAAGGTGAAGTCAAAGAGAAGTAGTGATAATGACTCTAGGCTCAAAGACAAATATATGTTCTCTACTTTTCTCCTTGGCATAGGCACTGTTCATTCAAAACCCCACAGATGGTAAAAGGTAATTAATTTAAACATACTTAATTTAGACTCAATACCAAGTCAAATATGACTCATGACTTTCAAGCAAAAAAAAAATGAATAGAACTTCCCAATCTTAATATTAACATACATACTTTTCTTACTAACACATATGACTCTTGATTTATTTTAAGGTAACTAAAAGTGGCAGGTCACTGTAGGAAAATAATTTCAAAGCTTGTATTAGTATCAGTTCTTCTATTCAAAATGGATGAATGTTAACTTTAAAATTTAACCTTTCCAATAATACAGTAAAGAAATGTTAGCCGTTGAAACGATGTGACATTTGGCTACAGGTATTCCCCCTTTGCACACCCAACCAGTCGACTTTCTTTCTTAAAAAAGACACCTTTGAAGGTAGGGAATAGGTAGATCCCGAGACAACTTTAACAGACTCCCACAATTGTAATTCCCTTGGCTCCTCTGTGAAGACTTCGTAGGGTTTTTTTTCTGTTTGTTTTGTTTTGTTTTTCTTTCTAGTTAATGCTTCTCTCACCAAGGGATCAACTGCCCGGAGACTATTTCACTATAAAAACGTTTCGTTATCCGAAAAGAGGAGGGGCAGGATGATGGGGAGAGGAAGGGAAAAGAAGGGCATTGATTATAGAGAAC